GCTGGCTTCCCACCGCCGCGCCCCGGAGTCGATCCCGGGTCTGGTCAAGTGGGATTTGTAGTGGACAAAGTAGCGCTGGGGCAAGTTTTCTCCGAGTACTTCGGTTTCCCCTGCCAATCTTCATTCCAGCAATTGCTCCACAATCACCCTCACCTATCATCTGGGGCTGGTACAATAGGCCAGAAGTGGCCGCAGTGCAAGGGACTTAGTCCCACCCCACTAGCAATAAAAAAAATGTTATCGTATGTTTTATGCTGTTATTGCAGAAGTTGTTTAGAAGGATTAAGGAAAACTGCGAAAACTTCAGGACAGTCTATTAGAAGGATTAAGGAAAACTGCGAAAACTTCAGGACAGTCTATCTCTGGATCAGTTTTTGAACCCGGTATTACTTCCACTCTGTAACTCTTTCCGAGGTTCGGCAGTTTCTGAATTGGAGTTCCGCCTGCTCTCATATCCCGTATCTCGTTTTCCTCAGGAAGTAAATGAATGTGAAAGTTAGGGGTGCTGTAGTCTTGCAGTTTTTCTGTCCGCCGAAGAGAATTAAATAAGCCCCTGCACAAAATAAAGTTAACATTTTTGTTGTTACAGTTGTTTTTCATTTCAGTTTATAGAACAAACTTGTATTCGTGTGTATGGCGAGTTACCACATAAGCATGAATTAGGCTTTATTCTTTCTTTCTCAGCACGTCGACCTAATTTTGAAAACTGGTTCTTCTTCGCCGAAGGATCTGTTTCTCTCGCCAATAGAGCATCACCACACAGCTTCTCTTCGGACGCAGAACTTTCTTCGTGCTTCTCCCCCCCCCCCTCCTCCAGTAAAGCAACCTCAAGTGTCGGTTTCGGAATTTGGAATTTGGAAGCGTTGACATTTTTCTTCCTTTCAATGCGCAATATTGATCATGATCGAAGCTGGTTTGTTCCTCTTAACGTTAATGAGAGGAGCAGGTTATTTTCAGGGTCAGCGGGTACTGGGAAGGTCACGCACGCATCCTATTATGTAGTTTGATTCATTTCAGACTTAGGTGCCTGGATTCGAAAGCGCTGCAGCATGTAGAAGGTTTCGAAGACTGCTTGGTCCCAGTATTCAAATGTACGGTTGTCGCCTGAGGTATAGCCATAATGGATGCCATTTTCTGCATCACTTGTGGATATTGATTGTATGGAATTTGGCTGACTTTCGAACTGAAGCACACTTCTGGTCGAGTTTGGATCTCCTTTGTAAATTTTCTTCTTCTAGCATAATTTCCGTTTTATACTGGCGAAGGTTGAGGTCTCCAACTTTTTCTTTTTTTCCTTACCACAATCTTTTGTTATTAATTTCTTCCCAGTTCTCAGTTCTCTCTCCCCCTTTCTCTTTCGTTTCCTCCAGCACTGGGCGGAACCATTTTGTTCCGGAGCGTTCAGTAGGTCTCTGAATGTTAGTTCTGATGCCCTTCTTAATATATTTAGTTATCAATTCCTTTTTCGTTGCTGAATCATTGTAATAGTTCTTCTTCTTTCTCTTAAAAAGTTTTGCATTCCAATTTGCGCAAGCCACACCCAGTTTGTTAAAGCAAACGCGTATGAGCTTGCTCTCTTCAGTGCATGAGAAGAAATTCATAATTTGCTGGAGTCTTGGAATTACTCTCTCCTTCGGGCTGGTAAATACCTACATATTTTTTCGAGTTCCTTTAACCACAGTCAGAAATAGTCCCGTCAGTTCTCTTTTTCTTCAGTTTTCATCAGTTTTGTGTTCTCTAGGCTCAAGAGACTAAAATCCAGCGAAGTTCCTAGCCTAAGCAATAACAGTTTGACATACGGACGTGTCTGCGTTAAATGTATTCCAAGCTCAGGAAGCAAGCTGTTGTATCCATTATGCAATTAGTTCTTCTGTCATACTTGTTCTGTCGCGCGGTGTTGAACTATTGTGTTCTTGTTGAGTTGGCATTTGGGGGAACCATTATTATTCCCCCCTTTTATGATGCTAAAGGGAGATCTCTAATCATTTATCTCTATAATAAAAATACGAAAGTGTTATTGTGAATGGTAGTGTGAAAGAAAGGTCAATAAACTTAACCAGCTTAACGGGTTTCTTATTGAAGGTGCATAGGTTAAATGTTCGTTGACAAGTTGTCAGCTGTTTAGTCACTACGGTAAGAGAATTCCACAATTTAAAGCTTTATATTAAATGCTGTGTGCCTTATTAATCAGACTATTCAACTCGAACCTGTGGTGCAAGATTAAAATAAGAACAAATGTCAGCTTCAACGTCTCGGTCAAGTCAGTGCAACCCCTCGTACTCGGGAGGTTACGGATTCAGGTCTTTGTCTGAAAATAGGCAATTCTGAATTAGGTATTTTGTGGATTTTGTCATTTGCTCCAAGCAAGTGCCGAGATAGTACCTCTTAAGTGAGAACACAGGCCAGGGTAGTTCAGTCAGAATGAGTAGGCTGCACACCTGTAATGCTAACGCTCTAGACATATTCAAGAAGTTCACTGTTCGAATCTGGGCTGGACGCCGGCTCTGCAGACTGAGGTTTTCATGGTTTTCCGAAGTCCCCCCAGGCAGTGCTGGGATAATATCTTGATTAGGCCATGACCGCTTCTTTCCACACCCTTTCCAGTTCGTTATGCCATTCTGCTATTCGTCCATTCTTTGTAAAATGAATGAGAAGCTACCAAGTTGCGGGAAGGACGGCCGGAATTAGAGGCTTGGTAGAAGGAAGGTATTTTTCTCTCCGTTACTGTGTCCAGGTAGGCTTTTATCCATTGGGTACCAGAGACCCCTTCCCTGAGGGTAAAATGGTCGGAGCGTGAACCTGACCACACATCCATCTAGTGTCAAGAGATTAAGAATGTGTGAAGGCGNTCACGGCGGTGACTATGAAGAAAGCAGTCTTCTGGGATTTGGCTTTCTTCATAGAGATTAAGAATGTGTGAAGGCGTAGCTCTGCTTCTCTGCATTTCCATTCTGTGGTACTTAACTAAGCGGCAGGGCAAATTTACCTTCTATATCAAGACTGGCATTTGTAACTGCAACATTTTAAGTACTNTACCGAGGGCCGACCTCGTTGGCTGAACGGGGCTGATAGCACGCACCAGTAGAAATTAAAGGGGGACGCACAGTGGACCAATAACTGGTCTAAGTGCATGGGGAAACCCACCCCCTCTAATAACAATAATAATAAAGTACTTATGATACAACAATAAACGACCTGCCCATATTAGTTTACATTTGACAAGTAAAATTTTATATTTCAGGGCCCTGAACAAATTTGTGTAAGATTATGAATGTCTGCCTATGACTAGTATCAGCAACTAATTATTGGGATTGATGTGGAAGACTTTTATCTAGGGTCACGCAATTCCAGTTTGCAGCCATATTGACTCATAATACTCATGAAGCCCACTTTACAAAAAGGCCATAAATGTGCTTTTCGTGTATGTCATAAATCATTTTACTGTCATGTGTTAGAGTGACTCTCGAAGGGGTTTTGAATAATTGGATTTATTGACCACTTATGGGTTGAAACTACAAGTAATTATAACGGTTTCACTGAGTTACACACCCCAAATATCACGTAACTACAGCACACAGAGTCTTTTTAGTCTTGACTAGTCGTTTCCTGTTGCCGGGTTTTAATACTGTCCGCTTACGTCCTTACCGTCTGACAGATCCCACAATTCCAACAACTGGACAACGTAACTCAGTCAAAGTCAAATTTACTTTACGACGGGCAATGTACCGCCAATCGTTTCATCTTGGCGCCAAGCCCCTTGAGGCTCATGACCAAATGTTTTTTTTTCAACAGAACCCTTGTGGTTGTAGTCCTTAAGTAACACCTTATCTGACGAGAAGATGGATTTGTCTCTTATAAATATGCTTGTCCTTTCGCCAAGCATACGTATCGCACATATAGCATGTTATTGAAATTTTTTCCTTTTGCACTATATGCAAGTCCTCCATCAGTACAGGCTTTCCAAAACAGATCGTGCCTATCTTACATATTTTATGCTACAGCGGCAGCTTAGCTATTTAAACGGTTGTAAGCTTGACTACCGCAAAGTTAAAGCCTCTTTATATTTTCCTGACCTCAGAGTCGGAGTTACCCTACGACTGGCGGTTTACCGCCAGTCAGTTCTTCTTGGTGTCAAGCCCCTTGAGACCCATGACCATTTTTTTTTCAACTGAACACTTATGGTCGTAGTTCTTGTGTAACATCCTGCGACTCGCAGGGCTGCTGTGGAGGTATTCGAACCTGCCTCGGCACGGATCATCATAGAAAACACCGTTTCCAACAGTACCACCACTGTTGCACGTTGCTTTGTTAATGTGGAGACCTGTTTGTTTGCAGTTGTTTCCCAGTAATACACTGCAGTATTTTTTATAAACACTGCAAGTAAGCAGTTCGTTATTTACTAATCATTCTATCATTCAACACATATATAATTGAACTATTTACTAAAAAACTAAACTCTGTGGCTTGAGTCCGCAAGCGAACTATATCAACTGAGCGACCGCCGCTTGTTGACGAAGTTAGTAGGAACTTTAGCGGATAGGGGGGCAACAATGATGGACATTTTGTTTGAGAACAACAAAAAAGAATACCCAAAGTCAGTTATAGAGCTCTTAAGGCTAGAAGAAAAAATTTTTTTGCAAGGCGTCGGTTACTTCATAAGCAACATTCCTACATTTATATAAAATAGATATGTAAGAAAATTAAAAGAAGTAATTGTACTGATTATTAACAGTATACTCTCAGATTTTAGTTAAGATCTATATTAAGAATCACGGGGTTACCGCTTTTATAGAATAAGATGTTTATAAGAATGTTCTATAGAAGGCCGGATGGGCATTGCCTAGGCCTTTTTTGTATTTATAATATTTCTTCTATGATAAAAAAATCCCCACGGCCGTTAATTTCGGTTTTCTAGACAGGAGCTCAGTAGGCAATATACACAGTTTTGTTGACAAATATATTGTTATGGATTCAAATGTTTTCCCTCCGTTTACTTGCAGGCACATCCCAAAAGCAAAGGCAACCACAATGGCAGAAACACCAGAACTGAAACGAATTGCAGAAAACACAAGAATTCAGTCAAATGTAAGTAGAAGTAAAGCACTAATTTTTCCCTGGAAATGTTCTGCCTCCATATGGTTATGAAATTGGACAGTACAGTACTTCTTTTTGCTTATTTTGGACTTCATCCATCGTCTGGTATATAAAAGACAAAATAAGCCAAAAGAAGTACAGTACACACCATCGTCAAAATCCTTTCGAGTCTATCTGGACAGTACAGGTTTGTTAATGCCATGAAGATATTAGTTAATATTTCTACTATTTCTTTGTTATTGTATGGGAAAACAGTGTGTGTAAATTGGCTTAACAATTTGAAGACTGTGTAATATTAAAGTAAGTAAAAAAAAGAAGTAAAGCTATCCCTGTAACAGGCCGTGAAGGCCCATAGGGTTGTGAGACGTTGAGGGTCCCACATTTTCTAGACAATCGGCTCAAAGTTGGCGGTAAGGTTGTCAGCCTTACGCGCCAGCCGCGCTTTACCCCCCAGGAAAATTATTTAATTAATTCCTGGTATTCATTTCTGGTAGAGTCTGCGTTGAACCCAGGGCCATAGTGCGGCTGGAAGGATAAGGTCAATTTGAAAAAGATCCAATGACCTCATCGGGACTTGAACCTGTGACCTTCTGGCTTGTAGCATAATGCCTCAACCAACTACGCTACCGCGTGCCCCGACTGTGTAACATTGCATTTGTTAAATACATTCTTCTAAAACTGATTTTAAGGCTGCATTTAAAATTATCTCACGGAAGAGTGAACACAGGCTTAAATTTTTTAATGGAAGTGGGGATAATTTTGACCCAAGTTTTGTCAGGTTTTCCTCATTCACTTGGGCAATCCAAGTGAAGAAAAGAAAGTTTGATCCTCTTGTACCAGGAAACACTGCGCTGTGAACGGTATTTGTTGCCTACATAGTTGATTTTTTGGTGGGTGAGGGATACTATGTTTGAATTTCAAATCTCACACTCTGATGTTCCATTGTCTTCAACAGTTAATACAAGATGGCACATTGAACCATTCCATCTTCAATCAGACAAACCACTAGTACATTTGTCAGGTTAGGCTGTTGACAGATTTTCTCAAAAATGTATGTTTGAAAGTTACGCCATAGACACTCCTGGAAATGTAAAGTGATTCCTTCCACATCCTCTCACTAGTAATCCCACAGTTCAACAGTGTACTCTGAGCAGCTGATTGTATTATTTAATAAACATTAAATAAACAAATACGACTGAAAATAATCATGCTTATTTTACAAAAGGGTTTGCGTGCAGACTGGATATTTCATCATGCACCGTAATATTTTATAATGACAGTACAGGAATATAGTAAAACTGATGATTATTATAAATAAATAATAACGTCTAAATTTATTTCTTTGCAGTAAGGAAGTACATCATATATACTCTAAGAGAACATTCATATTATTGAAATGAAGATAATCTCATAACTGTGAATGATTTACCATATTTCCCATGCCCCCTCAAAAGAGAAGGATTGACTCTTTTTCATTCTTTTTCTCTCCATCAGGTGGCAACTGTGGTCATGCCTAGCCTGGTGGTTTATTTTTTACAGATATGATTTCTGTGTATGATGTATGTAAAGAAAAAAAAAGGTAATACTATACCTGTAACAGTCCCTGGAGGCCTGTAGGGTTGTAAGATGTTGAGGCGCCCACATATTCTAGACATTTGGCTCACGGATGGCAGTGAAGTTGTCAGCCTTACATGCCAGCCACCCTTTACCCCCAGGAAGATTCCTGGTACTTATTTCTGTTAGAGGCTGAGTCGACCCCAGGGCCATAGTGCAGCCAGAAGGATTACGTCAAGTGAAAAATGCAGTGACCTCATTCAGAATTGAACCTGTGACCTTTGGGCTTGTAGCGTAGTGCCTCAAACAACTATGGTACCATGTGTGTAGTTTATTTTGTTTTACTAATATATGCAGTAGAACTTGGTTATAACGTAAATAAAGGGACCTAAAAATAGTGTCGTTATAAACGAATGTCGTAACCAAAATGGGCACTTCCACAGTAGCCTTATGTTAGTCACATAAAAATCTACCAAAAACCGAGTTAAAATGTTGCATTTTTAGTGAAATACGTAGTTAAGTACAGACTAACGTAACATTAACGTGGAATTAATATGGATTCTCCATATC